GTAGTCCCAGCTACTTGAGAGGCAGAGGCAGGAGAATTGCTTGAGTCCAGGAATTGGAGATTGCTGTGAGCTGTGATACCAGGGTACTCTACCAGGGTGACAGCTTGAGGCTGTCTCAAAAAAAAAAAAAAAATCTCATAATTCACTTACATAGTACTATGTACTGTTTTAGTGCTAACAACATAACTTCACAGTGGGAAAAACTTGAAGACAATTTTACAAAGTGATTCTTCACTTACTGGGTTGTTTTCCAGTTGATACTGTTTTATACTTCTGTCAGTTACATTACTTTTGGTTTCATTGGGTTTTCATCACTGCTATAATACTTAGAGCATTACTAATGATAGGGAACATTTCTCTACTTTGTTTTCAGGTATGACAGCAGTTGTCTGTACTTACCCTCTTGACATGGTTAGAGTTCGCCTAGCATTCCAGGTGAAAGGGGAACACACCTATACAGGAATTATTCATGCATTCAAAACAATTTATGCAAAGGTATTCATCTTTCTCATCTATAACATGTCCTTTTATGTCTGGGAAAATATTTTGTATGTTATCTAAATAATTATTCTTTTATTTGTAATTGCTGATATATAGTATTAATAATAACAACTATGAAAGTATATCTTTGTTTTTCAGGGTAGGTCCTAAAGTAACTTTTCCATTATAAAATGTGCTTTTGTTCTTTGATGTTTATCATAATGAGCACAATGTAATCTTTCTTCTAATTTTCCTTCACTGAAAAGGAAGGTGGTTTCCTTGGATTTTACAGAGGCCTGATGCCTACTATATTGGGAATGGCTCCATATGCAGGTATGTTTCAAATTTGGCTGAATCCTAATTTATTTGTTTCGAATATTTCACCAGTTTTTTTATGAAATGATGCTGTCTGAAAAAGTACTTTTAACTAGGAAATGATGAAGATAAAATTATGATCCATACATGCTGATACAATATCTTGTATGTAAAGATGACTTGTTGTGTACAATGAATAGACATTGTACATTTGTATCTTTTTTCTGCTGCTTCTTTTTTTTGAGACAAAGCCTCAAGCTGTCCCCCTGGGTAGAGTGCTGTGGCATAGCTCACAGCAACCTCCAACTCCTGGGCTCAAGCGAGTCTCCTGCCTCCGCCTCCCAAGTTGCTGGGACCACAGGC